ATAAAAATCGATGGGGATACCGATAATGGTAGCGGGGTTTGTTATTACGGCGGGGAGGAGGGGGAGAGAGGGTTGTGATGTTTAATGAGGGCTGGGTTCTTTGGGCTGCGCGAGGATTAAAGTGGAGAGTGGATATTGATTGGGTTGTACTATTTATTAGTTTTGGCGAAAGCGCTCATAGCCGTCTCTCTTTCTTTCTTTTTTTTTTTTCGGATGGTTTTCGCGTGGTGATACCAATAGCAGTGATGTGATGTGAAAGCGAGACGCTTACGGCGTGGTGTTAATAGATTAGATAGGGATCATTAGAATTGTATTCGCTGATTGGAGATTGCGACGGTGCCGTCAAGGTCAAAGATAGCTTTATTCTTCTCTGGTAAATCTTGGTGGCGGGGGTACAAGATTGACCCGGTTTAATAATAGTCGGTGTGTTTTGAGGGTCGGGGTGTTTTGAAAGTCGGTATAGCGCGCGCGATCGAACGGGGAAGTGAAAAGCAGCAGCTGACAGGTTGCCTTGTTAGCGCACGGTTGATCTCATTTATGATCTGCCAGCTGGCCAGCCAGCTAATCGTCGGCTCGCTTAGGTGGGCCTCCTTTCATCCTTTCAGTCTTAGTCGGCGTAAGCGATTGCGGATCGGAAGCGAATGCGGATTTTTCGAATATATTAGAAATTCTTTTATATTATAGCATTTACTATTACAACTAAAAAATATTTACATCAATAGTTAATCTACTAGTATATCATCGTCTTCCGAAACATTTGAAATCGTATCATCCGATAAAATATTCAACTATCGATCACTATTTCTGTTAAAATTTGATTCATTTCTTACCTTACGCAACGAATCGTTTAAATCTCTACTACTATTAAAATTGAAGCTATCGCTATCGATATTAATATTAAGAAAAAAAATATCTTGCTTTAAAGAAAGGTCTTCGATAGTATCGATTATAATTATTAAATCATTACTATCGAGAAAAGATTCAAGTTGAAAGAGAGTTGGTCGAAGAATAGTTTTTTTACGAGGCCGCAAAATTTGACGTTCAAAAAGTTGTTGTATCTACTAAATCTCTTTCGAATCGAGAATTAAAATGAGTATTGAATCGTCGTTTTTAATAATTAAGCTTGCAGCGTTTTCGTACAATCTTTTTACGCTCGCGCTTAGCTTTGCGTAAATCGATTCTTTTACGATATTCAGCATCTGCATCTCTGTTTTAAATTTTATCGGTGATTCATTATTATTTTGCACCAAATTCAAAAAAAAAAAATTGGCTTGCTGCTCAACAGCAAGCTTTTCATCGATTTAAAATATCAAACTATCGATATATAAATAGGTTTTCGGCTTATAATTAATGAAATACAATTGAATTATACGATTGTAAATTAAAAAGTAATGTTTTAAGTTGTATTTTGTATATAATAACTAGCAATAAAAGAAAAATCCGCATTCGCTTCCGATCCGCAATCGCTTATGCCGACTAAGACTGAAAGGATGAAAGGAGGCCCACCTAAGCGAGCCGACGATTAGTGCAATCGGTCATACTATCATCCAAGGGCCAGCCGGGGGCCGAAAGCGAAGGGGGGGGATAGGGTGTTAAAAAAAAGAAAAAATATTGATAATGATAATAATAATATTAGTAAAACTACCACCTCAATCATAAGCCTACTCCCCTATCAAAAAGAGAGTCTACCTACTTATTCATCACATTATATTATATCATATCACATTCCTATTATCTACTTTCTTCTAATCCTGTTGCTTTTTGAAGACTACAAACCGTTCCCACACCCACCCTATTCCTATTATAACAAACCGCGCGTGAACGTGCTACTCCTAAAGCCCATCTAACAGCTCTAACCAATCAATACCTTTCCATTCTATTCTTGATTAAGCTGGCTAGCGAGCTGTAAGAGCCATTCGTATTCTGGCAGTTCGATTCGGTTCTTGAAGTTGTTGTTATTATTATTATATTTATTAACGTCGAGCGAGTATTCAAAACGCAATGCTTGGACCTTAAGGACCTTTTATAAAGTACGGCGACGTGCTAAGTAAAGGAATTATATATAAAGTACTATCTAATTGAAAGTAAAAACTATATTAAAGAAAACCTTTCGTTAAATAGCTAAACACTTATAAACCTTTTAAAAGCAAATTATAATGATATGCGTCGAGTTTTCTTTTAACAACTATCGAATACGTATAGCTTTACGAGCGGCCTCGATCCGTATAATACAAATATCGTTTTCTTTTATCGTAAAGCTAAAAAAGCTTGCGTTTATAACTTTTAAATAAAGCCGATGTATTTGTAAAACGCTTTTTTAAAAGCGTAATACCGTGTTTTCGATTAATCGAATTAAGCTCTTTTTATTTTATCTTTTATATACGTTTCCTTTTTATCGCAAATCTTTTTAGTTTTTTAAATCGGTATGCTCGTTAAGTATAAATCGTAATCGGCGTAATATTCGAAAAGAAAAAGGAAAGAGGTTCGGAATCGCCGGTAAAAGAAAATCTTTTCGAAAAGACGTCGCATATCGATGATTTAATATCAGCTCTTTAGATTCTCTATCTTTCTTTTTATCGTAAAAGAAAAAAAGAGAAAGAGCTGAAGGTTCGTAAAGGGCACCTCGTACAAGTAAAGAATCGTAGCTTGAGGTAGTGTGGGGAGAGGGCGCTTTATTGGATTTGGATTTGTGTTTTGATTCGGATTTGGATTTTAAATCGCTTTTTTCTGTCTGGGTTCTTTTCGTCTTGTCTATCCTCTCCGTAAAGAAAGGGCGCAGACGATAATAGCTCTCGCTGCAGTACTTTGAATTGCTTTCTAGGGCCTTCTTGTATATAACTCCTTTGCTTAGCACGTCGCCGTACCTTGTAAGAGGTCCCAGGGCGGCAGACTTCGCTTGCTACCCGCCCGACGTAAATAAAAATAACAATAACAACAAATTCTTTTCGTCTTGAGTGCTTGAAAAGTTTTAGACTATTATATACATATATATATATATATATTACTGGCTTTTTTTGCTCTATTTGTTTTGAGGTTCGGGATTCGTGAGGTGAGGTGAGGCGAAGTGAGGTGAAGTGAGGTGAAGTGAGGTGTAAGTAGTTTTCGTAGTATTCCTTCGTTGATAGGTTTCGATCTTTTTTTCTCTTTTTTTTTTTTCTTTTCTTTTTTCCTTTTCTTTTTCCTTTTCTTTTTTTCTTTTTTTTTCCTTTTTTTTTTAAAAAAAAAAAAAAAGAAAAAAAGGTGAGGTGATGTTAATCATTGCTAGCTTAATAGAGCGGGGGGAGGTGTTTCGAAGGTGGTAGCGAAATGAAAGATAAGAAATGTTGCGCAGTTAGAAGGAGAAGTAGGAAAGGTGGTAGCTGCGAAGGTGACTGAAGAGGAAGGTGCTGCAAAGTTGATATAAGCGGTGATTACGTCGAAGTAGCGCAGAAGAAGTATTCCGAATGTACTTTGATTGAAGCTAATAATTGCATATGTTATTGATATTTTGATTTCTGGTTTTTTTATTCTTAGGTTTTCGATTGCTAGTTCAACTCCTTCAATTGCTAGGTTTCCGATTGCTGGTCTAATTGCTCTTTTAAAGGCTGTCCTCCGGTTGCTGGTTCAATTGCTTTGATTACTGGTCCTTCACTTGCTAGATTGATTGAGCTAATTGAGCTGGCCGGCGTAGCTACGATCGTAATCTTTATCCTTTTAACGAAAAGCGCGCATCTCGAACATTTGATCGAAAGAAGCAAGTGCGTCGGAGTGGTCTTGTAAACTAATGGCGCGCGTTTTTAGATTTTAGTAGAAATGAGCAGATATCGAGATTCGGCTTTTTAGCATCGCATATAAAAGGCTGCTAATTAAAATATAGCTGATCGAAAGGAGTAAGGTGAAGTTGTATATTCAAGCTTGCAAAGAGCTTGGAGATTCGAATTGCTTAACGAAGAGATCGGAGATTGGTGGTTCGAACTCGTATACATAAAAAAAGGAATTCGTAAAAACTATCGTTCGAATATATATAAAGAAGCTAAATCGATTAATAATTTAAGGTATAGTCGAAGAATTGCTAGCGTAAGCCGAGGGAATAATTCGAGTGATAAGGGAGTAAATCTCAGTCCTTCTTTTAAAGCTATCTGTTTTCTCCTTCTTTTCCTTGCGCGTGATAAGACGCGAATTGATTCTTCTCTTCGAAGTTATCTAGTCTTTAGATTACTTAGCTATCGGTGTGCAGTAGCCAGCAGCGCGCTTTACGGCGGAAGAACCAATTCTATTCGTCTGGTACCATGTCCACTAACACTTTTATTTTTTTAGTTCACTAGCTGCCAAGTATTAGGCCATGTAATCTTTATGATCAATTGACGCTCGGTCTCAATAAATGATTTGTACCCCATACTTGAGTGTTCACTAAGCGGGAGCCGGAGCCCGGAGCTGTGAGGCTGACCTTGTAGGAAGGCAGGGGACCTTACCGTGCTTGTTTTAATGCACTTCAGCTGTCTGTGGGTATTGATTGATATAATTATGTTGAGCTGTTGGAGATAGTAGCTAATAGATAAATCTCTACGTGTTATAAAAAGCCTGGTGGATATGCCGATCTGTTTCAATGATCATCCGATGGATGGAACCAAGCATCTCCGGGACTCTCTATCCTTATAGCACTTTCCTTATAGCACTTTCAATCACAGGATCCAGCATCAGTGATAGCATAGTGTATTGCAGCGCTCCATTTCCAGGAGAGGAATCCAGGAGGGCAAAAAATAGTTTACCTGGCCATTTTGATTTGGTGCTTAATTCGGAACCCGAGCCACGGCCCATCATGAGCAAAGCGTCATCTAACATCTACAGCTCTCCGCATTTTGCTGACTTTGCATTCGGGATAGGGTGTACGCTCATTGGAAGCATTTTCGCTAAATCATTGTCTTTTTCTAATCGAAAACATTCAATCTGAGAATGTAAGTAGTTCCACTTTTCACATTGAGCCATGCTCGTGAAATGGATGAGCTCCTACCTTTTTGGGAAAATATTTTTTGGTCGCGGAAAGCCAAGGGAATTGATGGATGACTTATCTGATTAAGCTCGGTGATGATGCTCAAGCTCAAAGCATATACATCGCAGCCAACGAGAATACCAGACGAAATGGCTGTTTATACGGAATGGTGCCGATGTTTGCACCAAGAAACTAAGTTAGCTTCTCCGATCCTTAAGGCTCAAGCTACTGTAGCAAACGTTGGAGGGTCGGGTCACTCTAAGACGCAGAATGTATTCCTCGGTTTTCAGTTGCCTTTCACGGATTAATAACATGTAGAAGCTCTTGTCCATTGTGCCACCGTTGCACGATATCGACTTGCTCTTTGTACCAGTTGTCCATCGTCTCCTACCCAGCATTAGCATAATCACCCGACATGTTGTGCTCCTTCGATCAATGAGGGCTCCTCTAGGACTCACCTCCTCAACATATCCCATATGCGGACTCAATAGAACCTTGCTCCTCCCCTCAGTTCCCCAGTCCGTCGTCCTCAGCTTATGATCCCTAGGCATTGGCTCAACCGCAAACACATCCAGCGCAGCTCCTCGAATAGCACCATTCTCCAACACCCCGAGCAGCGCATCTTCATCGACCAACGGACCTCTTGAGGTATTCACGAGCAACGCACTTCTCTTCAAGAGTTTCAGGTCCTCAGCCCCAACAATTCCCCTCGAGCGCTCCGAAAGCACACAATGCACGCTCAGCACATCCGCCTCCCTGAACAACTCCTCCTTACTCACAACCCTGAACACCTTCCCTTCTTCATCTTCAACCGGCAGCCCTTGCGCTGCCGCTTGCTCGTCCGCCTTGTCCTGCGTCAGGTTGGCACTCCACGCCAAGATCCGCATGCCAAAAGACTGATACATAATCTTCGCGACATTTCCTCCGAGACGTCCCAGTCCCAGCGTCGAGAACGTCTTGCCGGACAGACCGGTCGCGAGGTCCGTCTGCCAGCCGCCAGACTTGACGTTCGCATCGTCGCTTGCAAGGCCACGTGCGATGCCGAGAATGAGAGCGATGCAGTGCTGGGTCGTGCTATCTGGGCCTCTGCTCTTCTTTTTCTTCTCTTGCACGCCTCCCCCTGGTGTACGCCCGCTCCCATCGCCTACGGTTCCTGTGACCGGGATGCCCAGGGCTCTTGCGGCGGGCATGTCGATTGCTGCATTGCGGACTCCGGTCGTCAACAGTAGCTTCAGATTTGGGAGGCTTTTCAGCAACTCCGAATGGAACGGAGTGCGTTCTCGCATGGAAGATATGACGGTGAATGGTTTGAGACGCGTGATGAGTTCTTGTTTGGTGGACTCAGGGGTTGTCGGTAGATTGAAAGCTGGGAGGGTGTCCCTGAAGGTTGTGATCTCAAATGCTGGTTTAAGAGGCTCGAAATTCTTAGCCGCTATTCCTTGGTAGTCGTCGAGGATGGCGAGCTTGATAGGACCTTCAGGAATGGGAGGCATGATAATGGTTGAAGCGTAATGTTGTTGGCCGGAAGTGTTCTTTTGGAAGAATCGTGAAGCTCCAAGTGGGACTATTCTGCTCTTGGTAAACAGTCTTGTAGCTCTCTATAACCCTTTCATAGATATGGGGGTCGGATGCTTGATGTAAGTGCCTTACAAGGAGAAATGTCGTGGAGGCTGAAGATATTGCGGGGTATGTTTGAATATCGGATATTAGGTTCATGACGCAATCCGAGCTGTTTGTAAGCATCTATCTCAAATCTTCACGTAATCTCATGTATACTGGATATGGGAGTATTTCTTAAATCACGATTGATATAAACACAGAATCCAGCCAGGCCCCGAAGAAATGCAGGGAACTAAGCAGTCGGCACGTCTCGTCAACCCCTCTATATCACGTGCCGTATCTTTTGAGGTCGCCATCTCTTTCTTTCCTTTGTCATCTTGTGTGGTTTGCCGGATTTGTATTACTTGTCAAGCATTTTGCTTTTGCGATTTGAATTGTCATAAGCTCGAATCAAGTTCTGCAACAATTTCAAATTTCTCTCACAAGCTCCCCCATGACCTCCTCGCACAAATCCAACAATGTAGCAGTACATAAGGTATACTATAGATTCTTTTATCATCGTGTTTTTGGACATATTTGGATACAGTGACATATTGCTAGCTTGAAGGCCTTGGATTCTGTATCGCAACGAAGTCATCTCAGATCCACACTTGGGCTGGAAGACTTGCAAGCTGCAAGACTTATTTAGCACCCGAAATCAGATCTCGAGGTTCTTTCTGCTAATCATTTCAACAGATCAACACCCGGGGCATCGCCATGGCTACTCTAAGATGGCCTCACCACTTTCACATCCGCAAAGTTCGTAGTCGGTATTTGATATTTGACAAAACGATGATCCCAGCCAATATGAATTTAAATTCTCTTCCGTCGTCCCTTTTAAATTTACCCATAGAAACCATTCCGAACATCAATATTACCGGCTAGCCTACGGGGCACTTTAAAGTTGCCCAGATTGTCGAGCTTGCAAATTTTCAATCTGAGAGGCAAGAACAGATTGAGGTTGAGTATGGCGGGGGAACATCTGGTACCTTGAATCTTTAATGCGAGCTTGAGTTTGGTGGTGAGATCCAGAAAGTACTTCTACAGAGACCGAGGTTGTGAATCTAAACAGCACCAATGTTTTCAAGAGGACGTCACAGTTTCAGTCAGAATAAGCACTGGAACATCATCGTTGAGAGAAAATCGTATCAGCCTTGACGGGCTCGAGCTACAAGATCTGGACTTCGAAAAGGCCAGTACGATGCGAGGCGTGTATCGAAGGTCCGTACCAAGCAGTATGAGCGACCCGAACATGGAACCATCGTCTTTAGGACCAAGCCTGTCTCCTCTGCCCAATCATTCCAAGCCAATTCGCTAGGAAGTTCTCGGCGCGTCGGAATCTATCAATAGGAAGTATACGCTAAAGGCTTCAATCTGTATCTTTGCGATGCTTCGAAACCCGCGATTCCAGCGAGACTGGTTCAACCCGGTCGTGGGATAGTCAACAGAAACCACGAAGCTTTGGTATGCGAGAGCATACTCTCCGAACTCCAACTATGATCCAGCAGATAAATCGGACGTGCTGCTTTGAAGTGATTGGAGTATGAAAATAGTTCCATATGAGCCCTTTACATCATGAACTTTTGCATAATACAAGACCGGAGGCAAAGTACCAGAAATAAGGAGCTGCTCTGAGATAATCACGAGTCTACTCTCCGGGCTTTCCTGCGCGGCAGAAGTATATTCTCCTAGAGGTATTCACTGGAGATCAATTGAATCCACTCCGCTATACCCCAGCAGTACCACAAACGATTCCCCATCGCTTTATATACAGTCCATCAAACCGGTCTTTCAAGAGCCGGATTTTCATATTCTTTTGAATTGACCCAGTATCATCCTCCAGTACCCTCCAATACCCTAGAATGCAATTCGAAAAAGGTTGTCATCGAAAAGAGCGTCGATAACGTTTAAGTACCCTCTTCCCCTACGTATAGGATAGATAGTACGAAGAAGAGTATGCATGATCAAAGTCCAATCGTCGATATTCCTTTCTCGACTCCGGGAAAGCTCGTTCTCAGTTTTTTCTCCTTTTATTACGCGAGTGTAAAAAAAATTTAGTGAATACATATATTCCCTTACCCCTTAGCCTTTCACAAAACAGGTTTGGCCCGCGCGTTTGGTGTAGTGGTTTCACCGTCCCCTGCAGTAGATTGGACTTCAGCATTTCTGACTTGGACGGGCTTGCTAACACCTCATTTGCAGGGGAGCGCGGGCGTGTTTCCTTTTGCCTCTTTCTATTTTTTTCCGTTTTTCATTTGGCGGGGGGGGGCGGGGGGGGAGGGGGGGAGGAGGCGGGAGGAGGCGGGAGGGGAAGCGGAAAGAGGCGGCCGGGAAACGCGAAGATATAAGCGTCGCGACACTTCACATCGAAATAGATCACCAAAGAAAGGAGACCTATATATGATGTCATAATCATACAGCATATGAAATGGGATATAGTTTCAGTCTGGTGTGTCTGTTTTCTATAACGATGCCTGCCCAAAACGAATTGGAAGGGATACGACCGCGCCGTGAACAGACGCTATAGTTGAGAATCATTGCGTTTCCTCAATATAGGTACAATGCAAACGTATCCGAAGCTGTACTGCCGTTTTATCTATCATAGATGTGGCGGCATTTGTTATTCACTTGCGCATCAACCTTTATTATTAGATTCTCGCCCCTTATACCAACAATCTGTCTGGGGCTTTGTTTACTCGATTGTTTTTGTTTCTATTTCTATCCTTTTGGTCTCCGGACCTACACCTGGCTGACCTCTGTCCAGCCTTGACAAATGTCGTTATACGATTCTCAATCGCTTGGCTTCTAAGCTTGCGATGGCATACTCTCCTGCCTTGCTTCTTCGGTTTTTCTACCTTGCCAGAGTCTTCTCTTTCTATGATCTATCCTATCCGTAAAGGAAGGCGCAGTTGATGACAGCCGCGCTGTTCTACATTGAAATGCTTTCTAGGTCTGTCTTGTATATAGTAGTAACTCTTTAGCTTAGCACGTCGCCGTACCCCATGAGAGGTCCCAGGGCGGCAGGCTTCGCCTGCTACCCGCCCGACGCAAATCGATACTACTACTTATATTACTACTACTACTACTACTACTACTACACGTCTGTCACCCCTCTCCTCTGCTATAATCCACCAGACTATTCGGGCTTTCCAGCGCGGAAGGAGTATACGCTGGCGATGGTAGGAAGAGGTAAGAACACTAAAAAAAATTCCTGAAAGTATCCACTGAGCATTGATATCAACCCAATCCGCTATACCCGAGCAGTTTCACAAACGATTCCCCATCGCTTGGATTCTTGCCCCTTATACCAACAATCTATCGCGATAACAACCAGATGTCGGCCCAGTATACGACAGCACAAAGTACGAATCGATCGTTGCATATACGGAAGCTCCCCTCCTGCCCATAGGCCTCCTCACCATCGCTTCTGGCATCAACTCCACCTCCATATCTCGCTAAACCCGCCGCTTCATAGACCAAGGTTTCAATGCATTTATTATAATCTTTCGAAACCGCTACTAGACCCCATCTCGGAGCCGGCCTCTGCTGTTGTATCCCAGAAATCTTTGCGCTTCTCATAGGTTCCCTAAGCAGCCAGTCCGAGAGAGTTGAACTTTCGAAGTGAACATCTCGTAGCCAAGGAACTCTACTACATCAGCACCATAGCCGCTCTACAGACTCGCGCGCACTCCTGCCGCAAGTCTTCAACGGGTTGCGTAATTTATTTCCCTAAACAACATACACTCCGTGAAGGTAAGCAAGAATCGAGGAATTCAGGCCATCAGAGTTACACGACAGATAGGAGATCTCGCCCGTGCGTTCCCAACCGAGAACTTTACTCCACGTCTTATCTTGAGAAAACCCTTTTTCATACTGTACCTTCCTATTGCGTTCCGATACTTCCGATAAGGATCTCACTCTGGATACGCGTAGAAGGGGTTTTTGAAACGCGCAGAAAATACTTTTCATTTTCGCGACTCGATAGAGTGTTATAAACACCGATCTAAATCTTTGTCATCATCATCATCGTCATCAGCATCACTCTCGCGTTTCCCGTTGATTGCATCTCCACATACCCCGGAAACGTAAAAAGAAGGGAGATCAGCGGAGGCCCCTTTCGTTTCATATCCGCACGTCGGCCCCAGCTCATTGTTTACCCGGTGCATATTTAGCGGCCCCTCGTCGGAAACAAGAATTATTCGGGTACGATTAAAGCCCACCTGGCACCATTACGTTTTCAAGTCCCATAAAAAGGTAAAAGCTCGCACATCTTCTAACCTGCTCCTTCAGTGCTGGTTTGACCTCGGGGGGATGAACAAGTGCTGGATAGTACACTCTGCTATGGAACGTGTGTCAAACAGCACATAAACTCATCCCCTAAAACCCCCTGAATTGCAGGATAGACTGAGAAAAAAAAAGGAGAGTGGGTGTTCTCTATCAGGAGGTGGAATTTTTATCACTTTTTTTTTTTGCTAATCTTTTGCAACTTCTTTTTGGTCGCCTTTTTTATAGGCCTAAGGTAACAGATATTGACACGCTATTGACGTTAAAACAATACTACTACTACTACTACTACCACTACTACTAAGGTAACAGATATTGTTGTTTGTTTACGCGAGATCGGCAATTAGCGTGTCGGGCGTTTGTGCCGGATCAGGTTCACAGGCATACACGGTGGAGTAATTACTAACTACAGCAGAACGGGCTGCCACATAGACTTTAGACAAGGTCTCGTCTCGGGATGCTTGCCCGCTGCCAGAAGGAGCGGATGAAACATTGTCCGTCGATTATTACTGTAACTGCAGCTTGACCACTAAGTAACGCCGAGATGCCAACGCTTATTTCAGAATCCTTAAAGAGGTGATGGGCTTTGGCAGTCGCTTGGTTTGGTGCTTGAGTTCGGTCATTCTATCTTTCTCTCTTTCGCTACTAACTGTCCATCTTTGTGGGCTCAATTGCACATTCATTTCATAGGCACAGGATGTCTTCCCTATTTTTTGCTACCGTTGGCCTGCAGCTTGCTAGCACGGTCCAAGCTTACACGCAAGTTAATATCATGTCCGCTTTCATGACCAAGAACATCGACCCGATCGTCTTTCCCGGGGAGTACTCGAAATCTCACTGTACGTAGCTGGGAAAAGCCCTAGGTCTACTCCCGAAACTCCACTCTGTTGTTGGTCAAAAAATCACTCGCTGACTGACTGCCCGGTGTCGTACGTTAACAGTGCACTCCTTCTTCGGCTCCGACGCCGTCACTGCCAACACCAAGACCAGCGCCGAGCTCCAGAAAGGCTGCACTAATGCCGAGAACCCCAATGACTTGTCTGTCTACTGGGTCCCAACTCCACTGTACACCACCGACAATGGCAAGACATACAAGCCTATGCCTATGTTCCGATTCAGTGCCTACTACAACTTGGGCGAGACCCCGGCCGAGGTTCCCATCCCGCAGAATTTGAAGATGCTGGCCGGAAAGGCAACGGCGAGATCTGAAGGCGAGATGATCGCCGGCGCTCAATCCTCATGGGCTTGTGAGACGAGTGGTGGCAAGAGTCTTGATGCGAACGGGTTCCCTAGCTCAACCTGGTAAGTCGAGCGAAGCCCGACTTTTGTTATCTTTTGATGTTCCCAAGAGTCCACAAATGATCACCACCGACGGGCTTGAAAAACACACCCATGAGCCCAACCGCTGACCTTGGTCATCAGCGGCACCCACCTGCAGCAGCTCCTCTACTTCCCCCAGTGCGTCAACACCGAGACGCTCGAGACCGGCTACAAGAACAAGCGCGGCGGCTCCTGTCCACCCGGCATGAAGAGCATGCCCCAGCTCCGCTTCTCCATCCGGTGGGACGTCCGCAAGGTCCTCCCCGGCGGCTGGAGCGGCACCGCACCCTTCAAGCTGGCCTGCGGCCCGGCCTGGTGCTCCCACGGCGACTTCATCAATGGCTGGACCCAGGAGACTGCTGAAAAAATGGTCGAAACCTCCCGGGCGAAGTTTGAGTACTCGTCCGTCAACGGCGCGCTCGGGAAGGACGGGGATAAGCCGAAGTGCAAAGCTTCCGATGCCGAACCGTCGAAGGGGACGAGCGATTACGCCGAGAGCGTGGCCGCGATGAGCAAGCGGGATGTGATGACTTGGGGGTGGTCCAGCAAGTCGCGCATGGTTCGCAACTAGTGAGCAAGTGAGCGATGGGGGCCGGCTAGCCTGGGTTTCTCATGCGCGGTAGCTAAGTTTCTTTATTGTGCATAGAAAGATAGTAGACCTGGACGTCAACAACTACTTCTTTGTACTACGAATATATATTTTCATACACACATATATATATATATATATATATATCATTTCTTCAGCTTCGCCTCAAGTCAAAGCCCCCAGTTACGGACTTTACAGGATTGATTACTGATGTCGAGTATTGCAAATCACACTTTTTAGCCAGCAATTCCTTTAGCATCCCGGATATTCGTATCTTGTGGAAAGACGGCCGAAGGTCAATACTACGAATACCATGTTAAATCAGTTCCAATACCTCACGCATCAATTTCCATTCTTGCAGTAATTCACACATAGGAAGGGGTCAACACACCTCTGCCGTCGAGCATATGCGACTTGGCATAGAGCCCACTGCATGCAAGACCCGGGCTACGCACGCATTACTGGTACCGGTTTTGCAGTGCAGAAGTGGGAATTTGGCGGGTTGCATGCTGGTGCTGATGCTGATGCTTTGGCTTTGGATATGTTCTTCGATCGATCGGCAGTGGGTCAGCGTACGCCGCTATTTCTCGTGCTCGGAATTTGAATCTGGTATAGATATCGATTGATATTCGGAGACGGAAAAGAGTGAAGGAATATCTGCTGTGATGCAGCCTGTCTTGTCAGCCGCTTGCGTTTCTCACAACTCTAGGTCACCAATGGCTGCAATAATCACAATAAGGCTGTGTAATATATGCGACAACGCTCCGAACCTGGGTCAAAAACCCAATGCCAGTTCTTTCTTTCACCAGCCGCAGTACGCACGTAGCGCTCCGTCCATCCTGTCGATGCAGACAGGCTCGGAAGAGGATCCCGGATTTCCTCCTCCTCCTCCTCTTTCCTCTCGAAATAATGATGACCAGACTTAGAAGTGCAGTGGGCGCCGCTGAGAACGGTCAGAAACGAGTATCGCATTTGTATACAGACACAAACAAGGATATGGTGGAGCTGCCGACGCCGACTGCAACGGCGAATTTTTACCTGAAGCCAGCTCGACACGTTTCTCGCACCGCTGTAGGAGAAGGAGGAGGAGGACAGGGAGACTGACCGGCATTCTCGACGTCTCAGCCCCCGAGGCACAACGCTGCAGACTGGGACCGCGGGCGGAGGACGGATTCGAAGAGCCGTGGAAACCGAACACGGAGAGACGATTTGTGCGCGCGAGGGGATTCGGCTTTTGGACGGCTTCCAGCCATACTGTAGCTAACCAACGAGGCGAGGAACGCACGCACGCACTTCATTCGCAGCTCGCCTTGGAGGAAGATAGTTGCACGTCCTCCTGAAACCAAGATAACAGCCTAGTCACGCACATGCTAAAGGCGTAAACACCGAGACCGAGACCGAGGAAGGACATAACTGAAGGTGGAAGGGAGGGATCTTGAAGGAGAGAGGCGCTGCTGCCGCTGATGGAGAGGGGAGGGAGGGAGAGGGGACCCCGAGGCACGGGAAAGAAACTGAACTCTTTCCTGTGAGCTGTGAGTATGAGGTGTATCTACTGAGAGCGCGTGCTGCGTTTGTGTCTACCATGGAAGGAACTAAAGAAGGATGCAAGGATGCAAGGATGCAAGGATGCAAGAATGCAAGAAAGTAGAGCAAAGTAAACCTCTTTCTCATCGCCGCTGTTGGTACTTCCAAATCTATCCAGCTAGTTGTGTGCTGGGGAGGAAGCGTGGTAAAGGACTTACTTGAATGAAATTTAGGCAGACTATGAATGACTCCGGTAAACAATCTCATCAATTACATACTAGCGCTCGGTTAGAATTCCTTGTTTACTTACGCTCGGCTAAGGTCTATTTGTTTACTTACTCCTATACTCTCGGTTAGGATATATTTGTTTACTTAAGCTTGATTGAGATCCATAGCTTTGCGATATTGTAATATTGCGAGAGAGGAAACTTAGTTTTTGATATCACACGTGGCCGCATCTTCCCAGGCCCAGGTTGAGATTATGTATACATCTATACATCTATGCATTTATGCATTCATGAGCTGTGATGCAAAATGCCTTCAGAGCAGCCATGGAATTAGACACTCTCCAGAAAAAAAGCAAAGCCAAACTCTGCTAGGTTGGCTCTCTTCTCAGTCTTTCCATCTCGGCACACAGATAGGTATTCAAATTCAATTCCCGCTTCGTCGTTGAGATTCGAGTTTCGCGCTAGCTAGCGCGTCTTTGGCCCCCAGTGCCCCACTCCCGCTCCTCCCTCGCGAAGAAAATACTGGCTAAACAAGCAGAACAACCACTTGAGATTCGAGAAAGAAGCAAACAAAGCACAACAGAACGAAAGAAATTCAACATCATCAACAAACCTTGTTGCGTCGATCTAGAATTTGGCCTCGACAATTGATAAAACCTCTACAGTTACAAGACCTCGACCTCCACCTCAACTTGGGAAAAACTCCAAGGGAAAGAAAACAAGACAGGATGGGGAAACGCGCCTCAACCACGGTCGCACCTGCGGAAAACGACGACGACGATGGCAACGGAATGCAAGTGAGAAACGACCGAAATGATGCAAGAGACAAGGGAAAGGGTAAGATGAAGATGGGGATGGAAGACGAGATGCACGTGTCGGCATCTGGTGTCATGCGTAGGCTATCAACGCCGCGGGCCTTGATACCTGCAAAGATGAAGAAGAATGGTAGCACTAATACTGCTGCTATTGCTGCTGCTGTCGAGGGTAGTGGGGGCAAGCATAAGAAGGTCGATGCTAGCGCCTACAACAACAAGAACAACGAGCCACGAGCCTCAACGCAACTTACGCACGCGCAGAAGCTGACTCATACGGGGAAGGCGAGCGGCGAGGTGGTTTTCCAAGATGGTTTTGGTGTTGATATTGGAGGTGAAGCTGGGGGTGAAGCTGGCAGTGATCGCGGTAGTGGATTGGCTGGTCCTCGGCAAAGATCGAGGCTTGAAGGTGATGTTGCGAGTGCGAATGCAGCTTCGAGTTCCAGATCGCGATCCAAGGGTTGGAAGGCAGGTGAGATGGAGGAGAGTAACATTGAGCCTTCCCTATCTCACGCTTCGAAGCGGATCTCGAATCTTGCGGCCAGCGATACAGCTGCTTCGACCGAGGGAGCTAAAAAGAGCAAATTCACCCCGAAGCCAACCAATGAAGCCAAACTGCCTGCCCGAGCATTGAATCGGAACTCTGGCGCCAAAGCCTCTGCTCAAGAACCCCTCCTGCCAGGGCAGAGAGGCATGGATAGCAGTCCAGCTCAGGCCAAGCCAGAGACTGGGAAGGGTTCAAAGGCAGAAGCACAATCAAATCGAAAGTCGAACGTTGCATCTAGCCCTCCCTCGACGAATAAACAAACCTCGAGTGGCAAAGCATCTACACCTAGCATCGGGGATGTGATTTCTGCATTGTTGGAGTCGCCTCAATCAAGAGTTCCGGCGAAGCGCAAGTCTGATTTTGCGTCCAGCAAAGTTCCTCGCGTTAAGAAGCAGGCGATGAGAGCTACTGCGACCCCGGATGTCGAGGTGGAGGACGGTGAATCGACGCCCAGCACGCCCATTTCGGGTGAGATGGTCCCAGATATGGGTATATCAAGATCAGCTTCGGATGTCCAAGCCCAGGCCCAGGCTCAGGCGCCGCTTCAATCGAGATCTGCTTCCTCGACCGCAAGTGTAACAGCAACCGCACCGACATCTACCATCACAGCCAATACGGCTCCTGATGGTAGTCGGCCCTGCGATGAATGTCGTAAGAAGAAGACGGCCTGTAATCGGCTACAACCGTGCTCGAGCTGCGTGAGGTCTAGCTTGGCCTGCACGTATGTTAATCCTCCTATTCTGGGCAGATCGAAACTTGGGAGTGGTAGTGGCACCGGCAGTGGTCGTGGTCGTGGTAGTGGACGTAAGAGTAACAGTGGTCGACGTCGTGGTATTGTTGGTGGTGGTGATGGTGGTAGTGGTGGTGATAGTAGTGGTAGTGCGTCTTTAGCTCCTCCTGTCCCTCCGAGTCACGTTCGGCCTTCGGCTCTTCCCGCCCGTCCGAGTCACGTTTCGTCATCAGCAGAAGCAGCAGGCGCGCGTAATATCTTGGACGCGACATTTACACCTCCTGCCAGCAATACCACCAATTCCAACACCATTCAACAACACCCATCGACCTCGCCACTGAACATTGACCCCAAGCTGATCAAGAAGACCGTCCTCGACATGGACTCGTTACTCCCTAGTCTACCTGGTATGTATACGTCCTCGTCCTCTTCCTCTTCCTCATCCTCCCCCCTCCCCCCTCCCCCCTTTCCTCTTCATATATTTGAGAGTGAGCCCCCAGTTAACAGGCTCCCAGATCCCGCAGAGTCATCCACGACCGCCGTCTCTCATCAAGTCGCCCAATCCACCTCGTCCGGTCATCCTAATGAACAATCTGGTAGCAGAGCAGTTGAACCAACATCATCTGCTCCCGCACCAAGTACGTTTTCTCAGGCCGCCGGTCTCGATACACGGATCCCACCAACCTCTTCTTCTTCATCAAGAACTGCCTCTATTTCCATGACTGATTACACAAATGTTGACTTCGGTGTCATAGCCACGGGGCTGTTAGACGGTACGATCAGCGTGCCAGAGGTGACTCGATTTGCACCTGGTCTGTTTCAAGAAGGTCGCGTAGCCCATGATGAGATTCAGAGAATTCTACAGAGTAGACCAACGTCTGAGACCAATCCCCAATTTCAAATTGGCCCGGCTCTCGGAACACCTCAACGAGGACAACAAGCTCCGCCACCGATCAAGGCAACCGAGTCTGCTCATACACCGCGTCTTGTCAATCCAAGCCATCCCGCTCAAAGAATGATCTCCAATGTGATTGCAAATGGTCCGAAATTTGGAACTTTTGGGCCTCCTGTGCTACCACGTCATCCTGCGAGCTTCTACGCAGATACTGCTCCAACCCCGGCACCGGTTCCAAGTCACCACGCACCTCCAGCAGCTCCCCGCTTGATGCCACCAGCAGAGACGGATAAAGCCCCCCGCAGACGACCAGCAGCTCGCCCCAAGGTATCGAGTCAGGTGCAAAAATTAAAGAAACCAACAATCGACCCCAAGTTCACGCTCAAGAGGGCAACACCTAGTGGCTCGCCTCTGGGTCCCATCTCTTGCCGTGACGTTGATAAATTCATCCATTACTTGATTATCATGGTGAGTCGAGCTACTGCTTACTTTTTATCCATTTAAACCACCTGCTAACCCCCCCTTCTTTTTTTTCCAGAATGAAATTCCGTTTCCAGAGACCTTCAACTGGGATGAATGCGATGACGGTACCACGAAGATCTTGCGCAAGTGGCAGGACGTGTATAGCAGCATCACCCGATTCGACCGTTACTCGGCCTCGAACGGAGACGATATCGGACGCCTGATCGCTGCTCGAGCCATTGATGAGAAGAAAGAGTTCATTCTACCCGCTATCAAAGTGTACATGGAATCCATGGCAAATTTAGCATATGAAGAGATCAAGAAAGCCCCGGAAAAGGATTTTCTGGGACACAAGTACGACTGGGACGATTCTTCTGCGGACCCGGGCCCGGGCCTTAACTGGCGCCACGTTTGTCTTCTCGAGCAAGCTTTCTTTCTCAGCGCTAAAGAAGGCATCGAAGCTATTGTGCAATTCAACAAGAATAATCCTGTTCCTCACGGCCAGGGCGCTGAACAGGTCACGGCCATGAAGAAATACCTCAAGTCGCTCAAGCCACCCGGTGATACGGCTGCGGGACCTTCTGGCGGTTCGGGCAATATGTTTGAGGGAGCCAGTAATGCAATTGAAACTCCACCGAGTCCACCTCATTTCTGCGGATTTGGATACTTTGTGGGAAAGAAGAAGACCGGCGAACGCGCTCGCGTACCGTCCAAGGAGGAGGTTGCTGTGTCACTGGGCTACGAGATCGACTACGATATGTTTGGTGTTGGTAATAATCGCGCCGAAAAGATAGTCGCAGAATCTCCACCTCCTCGGCAGCGGTTCGACGGCGACTTCTTTGAATTTCCTCCTAGTTTCGAGGAGGGCCTTTTGAATCGCAACAATCCCGACGGTCGTGATAGTGTGGTGGAGCGCGACAGTCCATTTGTTCCGGGTGGGGTTGATGCTATGCTTTTTGATGCGGCGAGAGTTGATGAGGACTTGGATTTCTCGCAGTTTCTGCACATGGATCGATTCGATTGATGGGCTTATGGATGGATGTACGTATGAAGTCGTGTCTGATTGGTATCTGGATGGCTGGGTAGGATTCTGAGCGGGAGTTACTGGGATTTTGAGCTTCTGACGAGAGGAAAAAGTTTTTGCTTGATCGTGTGGGTTGGGGTGGGAGCGTGGGTAAATGAGTGGTTGGTTGGTTGTGTGCTCTGGTTTGGCCCTGGCGTAATGGTGGAGGATGAGTTTGGTTGTATTGTAATTGTACTGTAGTATCATTGTAATTATACTTGTATTATACTGTACCAAATGTTTGCCATAAACGGATAGCTTCCCCAAAGCCCAACCTTTACTTTCCTTCTTTCATAGACGCGAAATCGGGAATTACTGAAGATAAAGATATACAGGAAGAGAGAGAGGGAGTGAGAGAGAATTATCTTTTTCAAATACCAAAACTTATAATAAATAAAAATCGATTGTCCCCTTTTCTTCTCTTCTCGGCGTCGAACTTCGGGCTTATGGGTTGGTTGGGCTTTGGTGGTTGTTGTTGGTGACACCGATTACTAATCAAGGAATGAAACTCGGAGCAAACGGAAGGAGCAAGAGAGAGAGACCTGCAATGTATGTATGCAAACGCGCTTCTTGTAGGTCTAGGTTTGTGTTCATTCGATTTAATCCAGTACTTACTTAGCTGCTTACCTCCTGCTCAGACCGTGATTGGTAGCGTATTTAAAAATAGGAATTGTGCTAGTTGGGAAGCTGATTGAGAGACAACTGTGGCTTTGACACTGTGGGGTTGCAGCTACACTTGAGGCATTGAGCTAATAAGGCTGTATTTTTTAATGGCATTGTGGTTAACATGGACTGTGAATAGTTTGACAAAGTGAGAGGATACCGGTAGTTGTATACTCGGAAACAGCGAACTGGGCGACGGTGGCTCGAGGAGATATTTCTAGGCTCAGAAGAAGTACTAGCGCTTTCTGCTAGCGTTGCGTTGTTCGGACAGCCGCTTGCGCTCTCGAGGAGTCCTCGACTTGCAACGCTGCAGCAAACGACAGATTCGACTTGACTCGGCATCGAGGAAATCCTACGGTCTGACATCTCGTCTTCTCAGACTCCGGGAACTTTTAATGTTCAGTTCTTGAGTTCTTGTTCTTGCAGCAGCCAGCCTGCCTACACGAGACGCGTTTTCTGCAGTCGATGCCAGGCTATTATCTGTTTCCTTCGCGGTGAAGAGCAAATAGCTGGCTTCTTTCTGTGTTTCACTCCGGCCTTCAAGCACTACGAACGGAAAAGTCGGGGTTCGTCTGTTCACGTCGAGATATCAATGAGTGCCGTTCACAGCCAGGCCGAGGACCCGGCTCTAGCCAGACCTAAGCAGCGAAAAAAAGGCAAGAGCAATAAAAGGAACGACCAGAGTGCGCCTGAGATTGAGATTAAAGAGAGCAAGAGACCGAGAAAGGATTCGCCGCTGGTCATGTCGCAAGCGGCTGTCAACACCATGCCGAGGAAGGAGAGACCTGGGCCCGCGCCGCTGCATATCATGGAGTTCTTGGGGGTCTTTTACAGTCTTGTGAGTTTTTTCCAAAAAAAAGAAAGAAAAAAGAAAGAAAAAAGAAAGAAAAAAAAAACCCCTGCGGAGTCTATCATTAGCGTTCTGATCTCATCCTTTCTGATAATTCGGAATCACCGCTCCCAATTTCATTTTCAGTCCCAACCCCAGACGATCACTCCTCAACATTTCCTATATGCTGTCTAACCATCATCACATTACTAACCCACCCAGGGCCTCCTCAAAGACCAAGACCAAGACCAAGACCTCGATCACCTCCCCTTTGACATCGACCCCTCGACCACAGAAGATATCACGCGCCTCGCCGACATCTTCGCCGCCTGGACATCAGATCCGGACGTCCTCGAAGATCATCACGGAGCCGCAGCAGCTGGCAGTGGTACGTCCAAGTACCGCTCCGCAGTGGTTGTAGATCGGGCGCTCCGCAGCTTCGGCACGGATCTGGGATACCACCTCTTTGCTTGCGCGCTTAACCTGGGCGTCACGCCGGACTCGCTGGCGGAGCTTTTGGAGGACGTGGTAGGGTTCTGGGTCGCGTTGGTGGGGGATTTGAAGGGTGAGATGATTAAGAGAGAGAGGGAGGAGAGGAAGAGGGAGAAGAAGTGGGGAGGGGAGGAGGAGGATGAAGTGGTCGTGGTGTTTTGGCAGGATGGGCAGGGATGGGTGGAGGAATCTGAAGCTACTAGGATGGGAGAGGGAGAGGGGGAGTTGGAGGGTGAGGGTGTGGATATGGGTATGATGGGCGAGACGCTCAAGGGCGTGATGGAGTTGGGGCCTTTTGAGAATGAGACTACGATTCAGAGGGCTTTGGGCTTTTCGGAGCGGGTGGTGGCCGTTATGGGTGCTGCGGCGGGGGAGGTGAGGAGAACGATTAGCATTAGGCAGTCGATAGAGGTGAAGGCCAAATGAGAGAGGGGGGGTAATGTATGAATGTGTGAATTACTTAAGCAATGGCCAGCGGGTTGGAGCTTCGATGTGTGGATATAAAGCTGGAACTGGACCCGGGTATGACTTTTTTATACATCTTCCGGTATAATCAACACAAATGTCTGTTTCCAAGCAGACCCTGCGGGAACCGAGTCTTTCTTCTCTAAAGGAACGATCAAAGTAGGAAGCTGTCGGTACTGAAAAAAAAGATGAAAAACTTCACGTCCTATTCAAACGTTAATCCGCTGAAATTACGAACTTTGCCAGCTTCTCAAATGAATCAATTATCAAGAAAGAAGATTAAAACACCGTGAAAACATATCTAATCTGAATCATACGACAATAATTTACTTTGAGAATAACTGCATAGTAATAGCATCGTGGTGTAAAAGTGACGAGGATAAGTACGCAATGTCTGGACTAGGCTGCGGAAAGTATATAAAGAAAAAGGTACAACTCCATTAAGTTTGACCTTTCCTATTAAAAAAGAATGCTTGTTCTATAATTTATGTGATAGCTTCAAATTCAAGTATCGTAAAAAAAAAGCACCGAATCGGAAGATTTCCTCATATCTGATTTGAGAGCATTGTTATTTAGCTATAACTCATTGTTCGATAAGTATAACAGAGACAGAAAGCACGAAACTGCGACGCTTTCGGCGGACTACGTAGCTGAGACTTAGAGAGAGTAGCATATTTAAAGGGAGCGGCACGGATTATATCGCAAACACTTTGCCGTGTTAGTATTGTCGAGATACATCCGAGCAAAGTCCCGTGATACTTCTGTCGGGCTCTCAGGGCCGGCTTATCTAGCCCAAGTTTCATCATTGAAGGACGAAGGCGCGAGCGAATATATCTTATCGCGACCGCTGAGTTGAGCGTTCAGCTTAGGAATTTGCAGCTGAGCGCTGAGATTTACTTTGCCAATGGCTGCGGATGCTTGCGCTGCTGCTATTTCTCTTTTTGTTTCTTCTATTATTGCTGTCACCATGGATGTTCGATGTTATTTCTTAACCGTTTTTTGGAGTTACTATTCGTTCCCGTGGCTATTCTTAGTGTTGCTGTCAAAGTGTATCGCCTGAATATGGCTTTGAAGGATCTTCACTTCTCGCGTGAATTCGTTGGCAGTGAGGGCATTTGAAGAGTTTGTCTTCGTGTACTAATTGAATATGCTTTCGAAGCATAGCTCGAGATTGAATAGAAAGGTATCTTTTACGGTGCTACATTCAAGTCACCTCTGACGAGTATCCTGCAATAAGCTTCAATGGAAGACTCATGTGAATGATATCTCGTTAGCTACGAGAACCTTTGTTGCTATATAAAGGTTAGGCAAGATCACGGATTACGTTTGATACTTCCAGACACGCTATTCAAGAGGGAAATAACAAAATAAGCTTTTCAATTCAGTTCTGGAATCTCGATTCTGTGCAACCTGCCGCATCTAAAATCTTTTGCTGTGATATTCCGAACCAATTCTTCTACTACTTGTTGCTCCTGATATGATTCCTTGGTCATGTTATCGTTATTTTTTCTTATTATCAGAATATCTTTCACCGCTATAAGAGATGTTGTCAATCCGCTAGATCCCTTCCTATCTTCTGATCCGCTTGTAAAGCTTTGCGTTCGTTATAAGGACCATTTGTCTAACTTTATGAAATTTAATGGCCTGAAAGAGAAGTAGAATTATATTGTTAAGAGCCTGCATGCTTTTATATGGCAGCAGGCGTTAGAAGTAGTGGTTTCTCCGAGATACATTGCCAAAACACTCGATGACGAATTCGAGACTAAGTTAAATAGATCGTCACCTTAGTTCTAGGCCACAATACTATCTCGAAGCAGTAAAAGCACACAAAAAAATTCAATGCAGCGTGCTATAAATTGATTATTCTTTCTATGTCGGATATGATCAAATGATAGACCTATTACGTATTAAGACCTCTTTAGATATATAAGTAAAAGGCTATTCCTTAAGTTCATTTGATAATAATAAAGAATCTTTTTACTTATTTTCCTTCTCGTATTACCGTTTAATAAGTTATAAACTTCCGCTGCGACTTTTTTAGCGCCGAAATATCATAACTAATACTCTTTGCGACTTCTTTAGCATCGAACTTTTCGTAAAAATAAAATCAAAACGGAACGGAATACGATATTCTTTTTTAAAACTATTTTCTAGCGATATATACAACTCTTTTTTTTTATTGCTTACGTTTATCGCTAACTTTTTATATTTTTTTTTAAAAACATACGACCTTTTGTTTTTAAAAACACTTTAATAGTAATTTATCTCGGATAATAATATTTCTTTAAGGTTTATATATATATATATATATTTATAAACTTTTCGACGGAATACGCCGAAATGAACTTTAATCTTTCGAGATTTAATTTCTTATAAATCTATTTTGCATATATATTTTATTTATATTTAGCATCAACCGAAAACTCTTTTATTAAGACTATTATATTTTAAACGATTTAGCTATATTACGTTAGCGCGCTTTAGCTTTTACGATAAAATAAAATTCGAATAACTTTAATAAATTTTTTATTTTATTCTTAAATTCACTTATTTTATCGCAAACTAATTATAAATCAAGACGCTGCGGATAGCTTAATTAATTAAAAACTTCGAGAGACTTTAAAAAAAGCTTTTTTTATGAACGATACTTTCGTACTATTAAAAAATACGAAAACTTATAAGATCTTTTAACCTTTTAACTCTACTCTTTTTTACCGCTTTAATCTTTTTATAAATTA